CCAGACTTGCTCCTTGGAGCAGTTGAGCGGCAGCACTTCGATGGCCCGCGTCTTGTCGAGGTCGCTGAGCGCTCTGGCGAACAGCTGCACCGCGTCGTACACCAGCGCCAGTTCCGTCTGCCGGTCAATTGGAAAATAATTCAATACAAAAAGAAAATTCATAGCAAATTCAACATATTTTCCGAAGGAAATAGGGGCGAATTGACTGAGAATTCAATCCCTAGAAGGAAATTCAAAGCAAATTCAACATATTTTCCGATGGAAATAGGGAAGAGTTTACTGAGAATACAATACCCAGAAGAAAATTCAACGTGAATTCAACCTATTTTCCGATGGAAATAGGGACGAATTGACTGAGAATTCAATCCCAAAATAAAATTCACAGCAAATTCAACATGTTTTTCGAAGAAAATGGGTAACGAATTGACTGAGAATTCAATCCTAAAGAAAATTCAAATATAATTCAACATATTTTTCTATAGGAAAAGATGCATTTTAATCATATAATGGTTTAACTCATTCCACTATTTTCCTATTAGGAAGATATTAGGATAAATTTCACAAGTGCCTGCTCCTTCTGGGGGTTAATTCATTGATAATTTAATCACGTTCACTGATAATAATAATTATTCACACTGATAATTCAGTTCAAGAAGAAAAATATTGTGATTACTTTCGTTCGCGACAGCTCTGTCTAGGGGCGAAATCACTCACTAAGAATTCAATGACAAAATTAGAGCTCATGAGGCCACTTCAATCTGCTTTTCTGAGTTGAAACATTAGAGTGAATTTGGTTGTCTTTTATTAATTTATAAAAATCTTCAATTATTTTTGGAGGACTACGGAAGATATTTACCGGCTTTGGAAAAATTTTCTGGTTAACAAAGATTTTGTGCGCAAAGGTATAATGATCATATAAATGATTAGAAAATACCATTTTAAAAATTAAATCTACATAAAGAGATTTAAAGTTCATTAACAGTTTTTTTAAACCGCAAATATAATTAAAGGAAATATTGAATATCATTTTTTCCACTATATATGAGTGGAAAATTTAAACTTCTTAGAAATATGATAATCCACCATCAAACGTTTTGATCTAAGAATGAACTTGTCATTTTAAATTAAAAAGAAAATTTCGGTATTTATTAAATATTTCGGTAAAGCCATTCCTCGCTCGAAAAATGGTATCAATCGATATACATGTTAACACCCAAAACGTTTCCGCTTCATGATCTGAAGTTATGTTCAAACCAACAATTTTCGGAAAACTTCACAACTCTCTTAATTAAGTTCGCTGAAGTTCGTAGACTTCATAAATTATTAAAGTTCGGAAACTTCATAACTTTCTAAAGTTCATGAACTTCAAAACTTAGTCAAGTTCTCTCACCGGCATCATACTGAAGTTCGGAAACTTCATAACTTATTAAAGTTCACGAACTTCAAAACTTAGTCAAGTTCTCTCACCGGCATCGCACTGAAGTTCGTAAACTTCATAACTTATTAAAGTTCATGAACTTCAAAACTTAGTCAAGTTCTCTCACCGGCATCGCACTGAAGTTCGTAAACTTCATAACTTATTAAAGTTCATAAACTTCAAAACTCAGTCAAGTTCTCTCACCGACACGATTTCACCACCGAAAATATTCCCAGAGTCGTCGAGATCAGCAGACCAATCGCGCAGAATTTGCTGCAGAGTTCCGTCACTGAGGTTAATGAGACGCAGAGCTGTGGTGTTGGTGCCAGAGTATTTGAAGTCTTCCAGGTCCACAGTGTGCAGGTCCTGGTGTAATGATACGATGGGGAGGATTCTTAGCAAATTGATCTAATATTTAGACTATAATATCATATTGTACCATATTTATATCACAATAATTAATCTTCATTCTAAAATACCCGATAAATTCAATTGCTTCAAATCATTTCCATCAAAACTGATCACAGCAGAACATCGTATTTGGATTTTCAGGGTAGTTAAAATGGAAATGATTTATCGCGGCATAAATCACAGCATTTAATGAAATCTTCCCTAAACACTGTATACATAGTGTGGGAAAATTATGCTCTAGATACCATGTGCTCTTTGTAACAATTTCAGTAAAATAGTAAGAAAAATCAAAATTAATTTTTCTAATATTGATTAGCATTGACAATTGATAATTTTTAGCGCATTTTCTCATTTATGGAAAAATGCACTATTGTGAAAAATGCTCGCCATGTCCGTCTGTCTGTCTGTCTGTCCGTCTGTCCGTCCGTCCGTGATCTCAAGTTTTCGTCGACGAGAAAATGCGTTCTCTGTCACTCACTGCAGTGAGTATTGAGTTATATTTTTCTATATATGAGAAACTGCGCAAAAAAACTGTAAAACTGTCCACAATTTATTTTAAAAACCAATTGTTGAATAAGAGGATCGAAGTATGATAATGGCTATAGTGGAGGGGAGTGCTCACCAAAGAAGTGATGAAGTAGTGGTGATAGGCCGTCATCAGGCCTATCTGCTGCGCCTGCTTCAGCAGGGAATGTATTTTGGAGCGATGAACTTCAAGCAGGATGTGCACAATTCCTGATAACTTGATTGCCTTCAGAAGCTCCCTGGGCAGGGTAATTAGAATACAGGAATATACAGTAGCTCATTGTAAGGTAATGGCGAGGAAAAAAGTGTGATGACATTTTCAATGCAATAATGTTCAGTATAAGAAATTGAAGTCACAAGTCAGATATTGTTGTTGGAAATGTAATACAAAATAAATGATAGTAAGAGACACAATATTAATTTGCATATCATACGCAATTCTACCATCGTTCGAAAAATTCATGCATGTTAGTTGATAAAGGCGCATATTTCTAAAGATAATATAACTGAAGATATAATAAGGATCTTTGACATCATATGTAATAAACTGAATTATTCTTCTCTAATTATTGTATTCTTTCTCTTTTTTTATTAGTGGGCATCTAATCAAATAAATAAATATTTTATTACCTCATCACCTTTCAGCACATATATTATCAATAACTTCTGAAATGTTTTTTTCGTTTCTTGCTTAATTAAATTGAAATCAATCAATTCTTTACTTTATTTCTCCAAGTACACTCGGAGGAATGAGCGATATTTCGTCCAAATAACGATGTACTTCTTGTTCCTATGTGAGTCATCCTCACCCAGCTTGACGCCTCAAATGGCGTATCAGTGCTACCAGCTGAACGTGTCAATACTTGGTCTATTTGACCCATCAATTTTCAGTGTGTAGATTTGATTCAGCTCATCCTAAAGAATAACCTGTATCTCTGTGTATATTTAATTCAACTGATCTTAAAGGATAACCTGTATATTTATGTATATTTGATTCTACTGATCCTAAAGAATAACCTGCATCTCTGGGTATACTTAATTCAACTGTTCCTAAAGTATAACTTGTATCTCCGTGTATATTTAATTCAAATTATCCTAATGGATAACTTGTTTCTCTATGCATATATAATTCCACTGATCCTAAAGGATAACCTGTATCTCTGTGTATATTTAATTCAAGTGATGCTAAAGGATAACCTGTAATCCAGGCCGCGAGGCAGGTCCCTGAGCGTGACCCTGAAGGCGTCATCTTTAAGGAGTTCCTTCACCCGCAGGAGTCCTTCGCTGGAGTCGCACACGACAACCAAGTCCTGCCACCCCAGCGCCTGTAGGACCGACCTGTACGCCTGGGAGGGGAGAAGTGTGTAACGTGGGGTAGTGGCGTGCTGGGGTGTGTCATTGGTGTGTTATTGGTGTGTTATTGGTGGGTTATTGGTGAGTTATCGCTGGAGTCGCACACGACAACCAAGTCCTGCCACTCCAGCGCCTGTAGGACCGACCTGTACGCTTGGGAGGGGAGAAGTGTGTAACGTGGGGTAGTGGCGTGCTGGGGTGTGTTATTGGTGGGTTATTGGTGTGTTATTGGTGTGTTATTGGTNTACAACAAATACGACTCATATACGACTACGGTATAAATAAAGTTTAACACAGCATCTGGAGTTGACGCACAGCGGCCAGAGTTGAGGGCGGAGAGCAGAGATTGATCGGTCATTGTTTTATTACGGTATTAATCTGGTTAAATACGGTTAAATACTGTATAAATCAGGTATAAATACGGTGTAAATACGGTATAAATACGGCATAAATACGGCATAAATACGGTATAAATACAGTATAAATACGTTATAAATACGGTATAAATACGGTATAAACACGGCATAAATACAACATAAATACGGCATAAATACGGTATAATACGGTATAAATACAGTATAAACACGTATTCAAACAGTATCTGGACTCACGGCGGCCAAGGTTGACGGGGGCGGGTGGAGATTGACTGGTCATTGTTTTAATATGGTATAAATACGGGTTAATATGGCATAAATACGGGTTAATATGGTATATATACAGTGTTACACAGTATCTGGAGTGTACTCACGGCTGCCAGGGTTGACGGGGGCGGGTGGAGATTGATTGCAAAGGGCGGCCGTCTGTTCTGCCAGCGCGCCATAAGCAGCGGCACCTCCAGATGGTCGCAGGCAGTCTGTACGCTGCCGCCATCTGTAGACCCTGCGAATATGGCCGCTACGCCGGTCTGCAGCATCGCGCACGCTGGCCATCAGCAACGGGCTTAATTTTAGTACGTGTACGCAACGCGGACTTTTATCATTTAATTATGAAGTAATTTGCAGTTGTGAGAGAAAATACCAAATTTGGCATTTGTCTTCCATTTTAAACATATAAATAGTAGGACATACTCAAAGACACTATAATTTTTTTATCTTTCTCCTCTGTGAACACGTAAATCCTGATAACTTATTTTCTAATAAGTAATAATAATTTGAGTTGTATAATAATTTTTTTAAGTCTATCATTATTGCTCCAGCATTAAGGCACCTTTTTTATAAGCTGCCATAGAGTCGCCAGGTTTGACAGTCTCGATAATTGCCGACAATCTGCTGTGTGCCAACAGCTTTCGATTGCCGTTGATTGCCTCGATTGCAGCGCGGAAAACTTGCTCCTCCCGCAGGCTGGGCTCATCGAAGATTGCGCCTGAGATTGCGGCTATAATTATGAAACTATTTCGCGGTGCATTGTTAAATAAAATGAAAATCTGCATATCGTGGAAAATTCTTCGATTTCTGATGTATTAACAATTTTTGCCTGGTCTTGCAACTTCGGCTGAAAACTATAGAAAATTGCTTACATTAGACTTTTTGAATTTATATACAGTCTACATAAATATCATTTATATTATTAATAAAAATTTAAGATGTATTTAAATTGCAATTCCATCAAAAAAATAATAACTGAATTATTAATTTCGTTAAAGTGGCATTCCTCAAACAATTCAACACGTATTTATTTTTACAGGTAAACAATTCATCACGTAAAAAATAACTGAAATAAAAATTCCGTTACAGTGGCAATACTCAACAATTCGGAGCGGAAATTCAAATATGCACGTGACTCCGGTACCCAATTTTTGATACTCGATGCATTAAACATCGCACCTTCAGCCGTCCGGTGAAAAACGTGAAAATTTCTAAACATAAAAATTCACAGAAATATCCATGAGTATTAAAAGCTCAGCATCGAGTGGAGTATTGATACAGGTATAAATAATTATTATTATAACTATAACAGTAATAATAAAGTGAAAATATCAACAACAGTGACAGCCATCATGGTAATGCACTCGAATTTTTTCCAGTCGCAAAAGTTATTAATACATGAGTAGGAAAAATTAGTTTAATTTTCCGAAAATAAAACGGAACAAAAGTTACAAAGTTAATACGAGCATAAATTATTATTATAACTAAAACAGTAATAATAAAGTGAAAATATCAACAACAATGACAGCCATACCGGTAAAGCACACGAATTTTTTTCCAATCGCAAAAGTTATTAATGTAAGAGTAGGAAAAATTAGGTTAATTTTCTGAAAACAAACGGGATAAAAGTTATCAGCGCGAAGTTAAGCCGAGTGTAGTTTATCAAAAATAAATTCTTCAATACTACGAGCGAAAATATGCAAAGGTTATTTCATTAGCACAAATTCATCATTTGCGCTTAATCAATCAAAATTTAGTTTCGTTCGAACAATCTGCTAAAGTATTGCTATGATTAAAAAATATCCTCGCGCTTCCAGTTAAATAGTTAATGCTCATTATTGATAAGTAATAAATAATATAATAAAAGAATATCTGCCTGAAATTGCTATTGTTATTTTTGAAATGAGTATTGGCCCATAAATAATTGTCATGCATTGTTCAGATGGATACCAGACTGTGATTTTTATACTCTAATTTATTAAGAGTAACTACCGAAGAACAAATGCCTTCTGGAAGTTGATATCCAAATAAAGACTGAAGATAAGAAAAATAAATTTAGACAAAATATATCCCTCGCTGGCTTTTGGGTTTCACTGTTATTTTCAACGTTATTGTACTTTTCAATGTCAATACCCACATAAATAACTTACTTACTTTCTGAACACTCCTGCAGCCATTTAATCTGCTTTAATCACTCTTAATATTTAAATACTTTACGCACCAACAGCAATTTAGTCTGCGGTAATTACTCTTAATAATTAACTAACTTCACGCACGTTTAATCATTTGGTCTACGGTAATTATTTTTAATATTAAACTAAATTTAGCCCCAACAGTCAATTAGTTAGCCGTAAGTACTCCTAATATTTAACTAACCTTATGCACCTACAGCAATTTAGTCTGCGGTAATTTCTCTTTTAACCAACTTCACGCACCTGCAGCAATCTAGTCTGCGCTAGTTACTAGTCACATTTAACTAACATCAAGCAACTGTCTCTAATGTCCAAGAGTAGTTTGTGGATACAAATCAAAATGCAGTTACCAGTAAATAAATTAGCTTTGAGTTCACTGTGTTATTGAGACGCTAAGTCAACAGCTTATACAGGACATGCATCACGAGGACAAGAGACAAGAACCTTGCGGCGGGCGGAAGTAAAAGTCTATAAAAAGGCTGGGTTTCTTAGTTAAATACCCCAGTAGTTAACAGCTGCGATGCCATGTAACAATAGTTAGAACTAATCCCAGGTAGCAAGTTGTGAAGGACTATAAGTCCACACAATAAATGAAGCAAAACAAGCGCTTTTTTTAATATTATACATATATTTAGTTATTCAGCTCCACTAATACTTTTCGCCGTGAAAGGTTCTGCAAGTTAATTTTAATAAGATTTTGAGACTGAATACTGCATGTTCATTATGAAGAATCGTGAACCAAATTACTCACCTATTCTGACAATATCTGACTTGCCGGCCGCGTCGTTGATGTGCAGCAAAAGCCAGCAGGATATTAAAGTTGATTGCAGAGCCATCATTTTTTAGGCTAAATGAAAAGTTGCTTAATTATTTTGTTCTTAATATCACTAAAATATATCGGTTTAGTTATTATTAAATCGATTCAGGATAACAGAAATTATTGGATAACAGGATTAAAAAATTACAGGAATTACTTAATCGGAGCAACGCTGGTAATAAACAAATTCTCTACACATATTATATAGAAAATCAAAATCAACCGCGCTATCGCACAATGTAATGCTAATAAATCCTGCAGAAATTTCAATCAGCAATATCCATAATTTCCCTTACCCTGGAGGCCTGAACAATCCAAAGTTCTGTGAGAAGCTATCAAGTCTAAGTTTGGGAAGTCGTAAAAATTTATCACTCATGCAAATTTCATCGTAAGCTTTCATGACAAAAACCCTGCTGTCCTCAAAACTTTCACACAAATTCTGGAAGGAAATTAAATTTTTGCAACATCAAAAGCCCCACTGGAAATTTAGTGTGAATGAGGTGAAAAATCATAAATGTAAATATAATAAGATTATATATTAGAATTGGAGGGAATATTATAATGAAATTCGATATCCTAATTACAGGAATAGTCGAAAATCGAATTCCTCCCACAATCAGAGATTCAGGGGAACTTGACCACAATATTATTTAACCTCTTCAAAAATCTAAATGGAATTCCATGCTAAAAAATTGTATCATAAATTTCTTTGAAATTTCTCTTTTTTTAAAACAAAATTTCTTTATTTCCATAAAAATATTTTACAGTTAATTGGCCCCAAATTATTCCGAAATATAAAGAGATTGGTAAACATTTAATAATAATTTTATTGCAATAAAAGACGCTAACAAGTTCATTGTAAACTTAGTAAATATTATTAAGAAATATATGAAATTAAATTAGTGAATGAATTTTTCGACCAAAAGAGATTACTAATTTGACTCTATTGAAAGGATTTCTGTTATATGTCGATGTGTGCATTTGAGTCCAAATATTATAATTATTTATAGTTTATTAATTAATTTATGTATTTACTTATTTATTATCTCACGTTTAAATGAACAATTTACTCAATCTTTTAATCTATGTTTGAATGCCGTAAACTAAACGTCCATTATATTTAACCTACAAAAAATACAGTGTATAAAACACTGAAGCAGGTATTGGCAAACATTGAATATTTCAAATCGGTGTTATATAACAACTAAAAAGTTTTCCGTTGCGAACAATTTCATGATCATAGAATGTTAAAAATAAATTTAACCCGTATTAATAAAAAACACAAATCTTTTATTACCCATTTTTTTTTAATTTAGCGAAGCTCCAGAGCACTGTAGTGGTTTTTGAACGAGATTTCATTTTGTCAATAAAAATTCAAACTTCTCACTGATGAAAAACGAAAAATCCTAGTTATCATTGCAACACTCGCATGAAACAGAGTCAACAGATGCACTACTGTAACAAGATAATAAATAATAAGTGATCAATAGAAATAATTGTTTTAGTTTGTATTCACCAACAGGAGGACATAAATTGTCAATAGTTCAGCTTCTCTTGTCTATTAATATTGAAGGGAGAAAAAATATTTTATTTGTAATGCAAAATTAACCCTCTAGTAATATCGCTGCTAAAAATAATGACACTTGAAATTTTTTTGTCCTCCCAGTTTTTTTTATTACTTATTGTTATCTCCAGTTATGTGTCTGCATTTAAATTTGGTGATCTGATTAATTTGATAACAAAATTCAATGAAAGATAGATTTTACAATTTTATTTATTTAATCAAAAGTATTAATTCAAAATTCTTATTACCAATAATTAATGCTAGTGATTTTCTAAATGTCGTTTGCTCTGAATTTATGTTATTTTTATCTAATCTGGCACTTAGAATTCACGTCATATAAATTATCCTATTTCGGAATTTTTTAATCCGAAGTCCGCGTAAAATTTCTTGGCAACACGTGTGAAATATCACCGAGCAGCGACGCACACCTCACCTCGCGAGAGCTCGCAGCGCACTGGCATTGCCCGTCTCACGAAACTCTAATAGGTTGAAGGATACGTATTTCAGAATTAATCTTTTATAAATCACTAAAAATTATACATATGGAAATAAATAAGTTTATATAAATTTATGAAATAATTTTTATTAGACTTCAAATATTCAAAAAATTTTAATTGAATCATTTTTTTTCATGGATTCAATCTTCCATGCTTAAATTTCACAAGTTTTAGCCTCTCGTATTTTGAAAACATATATAAAGCTTAGGAAATAAATGAACTTATCCAGACACAAAAATTTAAAAATTAAATTCTGTATCCGAAAGAAAAATCTCTCTAACAAGGAAGTAGGTAAACATTATAAATAAAGACAATGAATTGTGGGTGCGAGACCCGCAGCTAGCTGTGATAATTGTGATCATTTTGACATGACATTCAGGGGCTAATCTTCGACCGTGACACCGTTTCATCCATTAATATTAAATGTAAATAATGAATGGATATAAAAATGTAAATCCTTTTGTGAAGACTTTATTATTTTTATTAACGATATTTGGCTTCACAGAACCTGATTACATGAGTGTACATTCAACCCTTGTAATGACATCCTCAGATCAACCTGATTGGGCTTTTCAAAATAATAACAATAATAATAAAATAATATTGATAGTATTATTAATTGTAATAATAATAATAAAAATGAAAATAAGAATAAAATATACCTCACTCCTGGCATTTGAAAATTTAACCTTCAAGCAGCAGAATTTTTTACTCTCTTCTGCCTCAGAAATTTAAATTTCAAATATAGAACGAAACTCAAAACATGAAATAAAGCTACAATAATGTGTGAAAAATCTATAATGAGACAAATCTATTATGAATATTTAGAAATTTAAAATTAGATTTAATTGTAATATTACGATTTGTTTATATCTGAAAGTAACCACAATGAATACGACAATAGCCAACTTCATTCTAGCTTTTAGTATTTATGATACATTGCGCTAGAACCTCTTATTAGAGTAAGTACTCAAATGTTGCAACAGTCATCCTGTACAAATTACTTTGTTTAATAGCTGATTTGATTTATACTGTTTATAATCGTTTTCTATGTATTTGTATTTATATAACTTGTAACATCTATTTTGAGACCAGAAAAAGCGTATTTATTTCCTCGATCCTGATCATGAGATGCTTTACGACTACAGCCATTAAATGAAGCCTTAATTTAGTATTAATAAGATATTCTTTAGAAATTATTCTACTTTCCAGAAATTTCCATGGCGAATTCGACGTTTTACATTTCCCAAAACTCAAGTGTAGCTCAATATTCTTTTAAATCTTCGTTTAATAAATGTTATCCTGCATTACCATCAGATTAGCCCGTCGTTGCTCGGGATCGATAATCGAAGCGATTTCTTAATCCCGAATCACATCATTACAAATCCAGTTAATAATAATAAATCTGCTGAATGATAAATCAAGTGAGACCCATTAGAATTCAAAATTGAATAGAACCAATAAATTTTATTTGTCTCACGTTTTAAAGCATGAAAAGAGCTGTTTTGCGTAATTGCATTCAATTCAAGTAAACGAAATTGAAAATATAGTTTGAATTTTTAGCGCATTTTGTCATTTATGGAAAAAAGGCGCTATTGTGCTCGTCATGTCCGTCCGTCCGTCCTCTGTCTGTGACTTCACGTTTTCGTTGATTTTGAGAAAATGCGCTCTCTGTCATTCACTGCATTGAGTACTAAGTTTTATTTTTGATCAATCCTTCCCTCCATTTCCTCCAATCCTTTCCTTTTCTCCCATTGAGGACAAATCTTCAGATCAAGGTTCTCATCAGCCTCTTTTATATTGCGGCGCCAGACCTTCAACACAGACACACGCATACAAAATATGACAAATATACATAAAATATAGTCCACATCATTAAGAGTAGCTCACACTTGCACCGTCTGCTGTTCCTGGCAATAACCGCAACGCTTTCATTTTTCACGTACAAAACTGCCCGTCATTCAGCTAAACCTGCGCGTTCACCACGACGTGAATGAAGGGACTATATCCCCTAGAGCATCTTGTTATCATCCCCGTGTAATTTGAGTACATTTCTTGCATCCATACATTGTAGGCAGCGAAAAAAAGAAACATGCTACGTTTAGTCCATCAGAACCAATATCCTCCATTGATACCCTCCTTATGTTGTCATCCTTATGAAAACATGCTTTGTATGTTCTTCTTATGACATCCTCCTTACGATTTCCTCCTCACTATATTCTGCTCACTATATTCTGCTTACAATATCCTCTTCATGATATTCTCCTTACAATATCCTGCTCGAGGTATCCTCTCCACAATATCCTGCTTACAATATCCTGCTCGTGAAATCCTTTTCAAAATATCCTGCTTACAATATCCTGCTCGAGGTATCCTCTCCACAATATCCTCCTTACAATATCCTGCTCGTGAAATCCTTTTCAAAATATCCTGCTTACAATATCCTGCTCGGGATATCCTCCTCAAAATATCCTGCTTACAATATCCCCACGACGTAAGCGCGACGATGATGTTTGTCGCTCTCACTTCAGCGCCAGCCAGACAACCGAACTTTAACCGTGCAGTGCAGTGAACTTGGTTAGGTTAGGTTAAATTAGGTTTTGTTAGGCACTTTATTGATTACGAAACTGAATCATGCACTGAATCTAGTGGGCATGCACTTAATCTGTTGTTCGTAGTAGTGAACTAATAAGATTATATAAACTAAAATAATGAACTTAACAAGATGCGGCAATAATATTTATGCCTAGTTATTCCTAACAAAATAATGACAATTCACAAATATCATGAAATAATCTATGAATATCATCAAGATCATTAGTTACAAAATTAAACCAACAGTGAAGCGAAAGCTGCTCTAGAAGAGACAGGACGAAAGTGAGGAGAATCTGATGGTCCGTATGCACAGGCTTCTTCTCTCACTAAAAATGCAAGTAAAATCAAAAGACAAAAATATTAAAT